CATGCTTCCTCCTGCTCCAAGCTTTTGGCTGTGTGCTGCTTTTGCTTAATTTGGCCAGCTGGAGTGCTCATCCACCTAAAAGTAACTACTGGTTTTGCTGGATTATGGAGTCAGGTCAGTAGAAAACGTAAGTGCCAGAACCCAATCTCCCTGTTGTGGCACCTAAAGGGTAAAAGCCTGTACCACAGTTTGTGTTCATCCCCAATTTTTAAGGCAGGTAAGAATTTCCTTTCAAAAGATGTAATTCACACAATAAATTTACCCAATCTGTGGTTTATAGAAAGTCTCAGTTAAGATGCTCTTTAATGAACACAACAGGATTACATCAGGAACTTAATTACCTTTTGCAAGGAAACTGCTCAAGAAATTTCAAAGTTATTGAGCATTTTCTTTCTCATAGCACTGTGCAAGAGAGGAAATAAAATCTTCTTGGGCTCTTATAGAACATACAGCTAACTTAGGACCTTGGACAAAATTAGCAGATGACTTTAGGAGTAGCTTCTTGTAGATGCATTTCTTTCATTTAAAAGCTCTATGTGCCAATTGACCTGGTGTCTTGTAAACTTTCAGACTTTCAAGAACCTAAAAAGACTGTCACCGGCCCTGAAACTGAGTGTGGTCCAGTTACAGCGTGAAGCTTGTTTGTTTGATTCTATTTAAGAACCAGACAACCTCCCTTCAGGTGCATTCACCAAGCAGGTGTATATTATGTGTTAAACTACTTTCGTTTATTAGATTTTGGAACTGATGACATTTGAAATGGAATAGTTTGTATTAGAGGTACTTCTGCTACATAAATGCACTAAGTTATTCCTTTTGCATTCCTTGTTATTTTTTAAGCACCTCTGCAGCATAAGTTTTCCTAGATTGTTAAGTGTCTGGAAAAGTCAAAACGTAACTTAAAATTCACATATTTATGGTGCAGGGACTCAACCAAAAGATTCTAAAAGCAACGTACAGACTCAGTTTCTGAACCTGGTTGAGGCAAAAATCCTTAGTGTCTGAACCTGGAAGTTTCCCTTTTTAAAATGACTGTGCAACTCTGATCACGAGGAAGAGAAATAAACTTTTTAAATAAATCTGACGTAGCCTGATGAATTAACAAGAGATTAAGCTTTATGAAACTTGGAATGTGGATGAATCTCCTGTTAGAAAAACAGTGCCATCTGCTCATAGCATTCTGAAACTCAAGGCAAGCTTGGAAATCTCACCTTACCATCATCGTGTAAGAAACCCACGTGCTGCCGTTAAGTAAAAATACCCCATTAACATAGTACGACAGCCAACCCTGAGACACTCCTGGTTCTTACCACTTGGTGATATTACCGAACACCAGGTTAGATAATGATTTTAGGCTTGCTTTTCAGAAAGGCGAACATATTTAGAAAACTCTTAGCTTTAAAAGTCAATTCCCAGTTCCCCAGAACTGCAGGCTGGTGGTACAGCTTTCCAGCAGAGAGGAGAATTCAGGCCCCTTTGTCCTGTTCCCTCAGCACCCAGGGACTCGGCACCAGCCGGCTTCTCCCTGCGCTCGCCTGTTCCTTTCCCACAATCACACAGTCCCAGACAGAGGTTCTGCCACAGGCATCCGTAAGCATTTTGCCCTGTGGTTCCAGTTTAACCTTGGGCTCACAGAGAAGGCCCTGCAGGGGGTCAGCTCCCTGCGATTAGCAATTGCTCACACACGCAGGGGCACAGAATTGAGCTAAGCGGTAACTTAAAGGCAAAGTGTAACCATGAATTCCACCTGCTACCTCCAGTCTGATGGCCAACGTCATCCTTACACTCCCTTCCTTCCTCCTCCCTACAAACAGCTGGACAAGTGTTCAACTGTTTTTAAACCTTCACAGTTCTTAAAATCCCTTCCAAAAAAGGTTAAACTGTCAACCTGGATTTTGCTCCAGTAGTTTCAGTTGTCCTGGAACAGTTCTTAATAAAGTTACCACTATTTTTTTTTCACAGTTCTAGGTAATAGCAGCTGAAACAATACTCCAGAGAATGAATCTTTCCATTAATATTTAAGTCATTTTCACGCTACAAGAGAAGACAAGATGCACAACAGTGCCAGCCAAATCGTTACGGGCTCACTCTACAGCATCTCATTTCCCACCACTTACCTTTCCTGTAGTGCAGTAGCAGGCCACAGACAACAGCAAACTGAGTACTGAAATTACGCCTTAGCTTTTGAACACAAGTATGTCACTCTATATATTTTCCACTTACACGTTTTCTTAGGACAGTTCACGAGTAAAAACAGTCTCAATAACTCTACAAAGGTGTAAGAAATACGCCTCCTTTTCATGGGAATCCTCATCAAAATAACTGCAAAACCAGACACGTTTCAGGAAGTTTTTTATTTAATGGTAAAAACAAAAGTTTGTTCTTTAAAATAGATTGCTAATTCAAGATATTGTTATTAGCTCTTCAAATTAGATACAGTGCCATTTTTTTTTCAGTTTAAGAAAACAGTAATGCTCTAAGGAAGATTTTTAAACAAGGTTATTTCCTCAATTTTCACAGTTCACTCACAAAAGGACTGCTGAAAACATTTATTTAAATACAGCTGCTTGTTAAACTGAGCTTTATCTGTGTCTAAATGTAGCTCTCATATTATACGGTTCCAGTTCTGATGAGAAATTAGAACATCACCCTCAGGTACAGCCCTGCCTTGTACAGTGCACTCCTGCTGAGCGAGTGCTCTAAGTGCAGATTTGTCCTTGTAAAACTGCAACAAAACCCTGCCTTGCCCACTTGGAAAGCTACAGTTGTTCTTAGCACTTGGGTAAAGGAGCTTAATTTGAAGTTATGCCCAAGCAAGTTACGAGCCTGATAGGCAACATCATGTAAACAAAAGCATTTCAAAACGCTGTTACTAACAGCAAATTGTCTCTCATAGATAACTTACATCTACATTCTAGTAGGTCTGTGACCAGAAACACGTCAGAGCCAGCTCTATCTATAGCCATAACGCACTCTTCAAAATATATTCATGAGGCAAATAGTCACCTAACATGACATCAAAGGCTGCTGAAACGCACCTTTGATACATGCATGGTCTGTGTAAAACAATAAATATCTCAAAACAAATGCCTGCTGAGCATCTGTTACTACAAATATTCAACATACAAGAGTAGCAAAAGCTGTCTGGAAGTTTATTCAACTACAACACTGACTTTGTACTGACAAGACACCAAGCATGAAGTTTCCTTCTTCAGCACAGTCCACACATGAACCAGACAAACTCAAACTAAGGTTTTCTAACATTCAATTTTCGGTTGGAGACTTACTACAAACATAGTTTTGACCTACCAAATTGACAAAGGCTTATAAGCACAATTTTAAATCCACAGCTGAACAATATTTAGATTTGTTCCTGTCTTGAAACATACTCACTTCATCTTCTAAAGAAATTACATGATAATTAGAAAGCAATGATGCACAGGATGGCTCGTTAAACACTTTTCCAGTATGGTTTAGTACTAAACCCAGAAACATTAGTAAACACTGCTTTGTTTGTAGAAGAGTAAGGCTATACAAAACAGATGTTGGACTTGTTAATCACTGTGCCGTTCAGCCGTTACTACATGTGGTGTACTGGGGGGGAATCCAGCCTTAGTGAATACGTATCACTGGGCACAACATGTTAGGCTTACAAAATACTGCCACGTCCACCAACAGAAAACAGATTAAGTGATTGCAGTAAGTAGAAAAATGCTAATTTAGAAATTAGCAAAAGCCACTAACGGCTTAGGAACTTGACAAACTAAACTAACTTCCAGCAGATCTATTTCTGTTGTCTTACTAATACTCTGCTCCTACTTTCAGTATTGAGGCTCTGCTGAAACATTTCCATGACGAACATGTTTTTCCATACATCCTTTTGTAACGTTCAAACCCGACTTGTTTTATAAACTGCATTGCCTTTAATAGGCGTATAGAAATCAGCCAGTGGCTAGTTAAACTGGAGAAACAAGAATAGAAAAAAACCACAAAAAACAACCAAAACTCACCTCAGAGGCGATTCTATTTACACAGTATCTGCTTCTGTTTCTGATACTACCTGACTAGTTCAGTTCTTCAGTTTCCAATCTATTCAAACCGGATACATGCTGCGAGCAGAGCATGTCTAACCAGCCACGCAGGACAGACTGCAGGTGCTCAGTGCTTCTCAGGAGTGGATGTATTTTTCTTTGAAAGTTAAAGCCAGAATTTTAAAGCCATCCTCTTAAACGACTGTATAAAACATGCACACAGTAAATACAGAGGCACAGAAATAGAAAGGAGAACATATAATACAATGTAAACGCTCTGAACTAGATAAAAGTTATTTCTGAACAGCTGTTGGTCATGAAAACATTTCTGTAATACAAGGTAAGTGCTATGGAGGAGGCAGAGATGGTAGAAAAGTGATGTGATACTGCGCAGTTACTTTTTCTCCCAAGGATCTCGGCAGAATTATCATATAATTGAGTTTACTTGCATTCCTCTTTCCATTGTTTAGCCATCTCCTGCTGTGAATCTCTTTAGCAGTAGAAGCGAGAGATGTAGTGCCCAGAGTGTCATCTCACATGTCCATGACAAGCACAATACTGTAAAAGCAGGTGTGTGTCAAAGCTCAAAGCAGTGGAAGGTTTTAACGTGGAAATGAGTTGTACAGTGCATCCACACAGGCTGTTCCTGGAGCTGTTAAGACTCCCACAGTGCAGGTAAGGAAAGAAACTAACTGAAAATGCTTCATAGCAATTCCAGGTAAATCCTCAAATTATTTCAGGAAAAATTAGTCTGTTTTAGACTGGTCGTTACATGTCTTCTAGGAGCTTTTCAGAACTTGTGTTCTTTCAAAAATAATAATAATTAAAAAAACCAAAAACGTTCTCTTGAGATGTAGGAGTAGTATATGTATTTTTTTAGAATAAAGTCCTTCACATAAGGAGGGAAATTCTAAGTCTTCACAGAAGGGAGACAGTTCTAAGTCTATTTCGATTAACTTCATCGCAGCTTCAGTTCAGTCCCATACCTTGGAATTTGGCAGTCTCGGTGCAAACAAAGTAAGTCCTCAGTTCCCCCTTGCCTTTGACATTAATGAGTCCCCTGCATTCACACGAATATCCCAACTCCTGCAGTATTCTACTTGTTTCTTCTGTAACCTTTGTGTGAAAAGAATTAGAAACTTTTATGAAATTCCCAATTGTTGACATTTAAAAAAAATTATTTCTAATTGGTTATCGAATTATCTTAGACATGCCAAGGCTGATACCCTCACCTGGATTTTGCCAAGTTCCCCCGTACTCTCCATGCGGCTAGCGACATTCACCGTGTTGCCCCAGATATCGTACTGAGGTTTCCGGGCACCAATCACACCAGCAATCACAGGGCCATGATTTATCCCTTAGTATAAACAAAAGCATGTGTCATTTTCAGGGGAAAATACAACCACGAAAACTTAACCTTGCAACAACTTTCTAGCAATCAGTATTTACAGCGTTCTACAAATATTGGTACTGAGGCTCAGGAGACATGAAGTGACTCATTCATTGTAAAACGGGAAAACCGAGAACAAGCTAGGGCAAAGTTCATGCCAAAGCAAAATTCTTTCTTTTCTACTTTTAATATAAAGAAATAGACATTTGTACAATGACATTACTGTCGTTAGTCAACTGTCAATGACAGGCACTTCACTCTTCATCCCTATATTTAATTTTCTCCAAACTCACCCTTCTGCAGTCCTTGTACTGCTCCTGCCAGCGATCAGAAGAGCCTGTCCACGAAGGAGCCCGGTGTATTGCAAAGCTAGACTAGGCACACTACCTTGAGCTGTTCACTATTTGACAATAGTTCAGACACTCTGCTCAGTGTTAAGGTCTCCGCAGCACCCAGCAATTTACCTAAGTCAGCCTACCTCATTTTTAATTTTTATGGAGCTGCAGAGTTCAAGTTCTTCGCAAACTGAACTTACCAATACGTAAGCGGAAATTGTTAAAGGAATGTCGGTTGATGCCATCCAGTTTACTCATCAAGGCAATTCCATATTCCACCATAATGCCGATGTGAGCGTGCTGCCTTTCCTTATCCTGCGCAATTCATAACGCACATTAATGATCAAATGACAACACAGAAGGTTGTGGCAGGCTACTATTCCAAGCCAGTACTGTTAGTGAATAAAGTATATATTTATAAGATGACACCACTCATCCTTGTGAACTGTGCAGTTCTGTGCAATTAACAAACATTCAAAATGGATTTAAAAACTACATTAAATTAAACTGGAATGGCCATGAGGCAACAAGCATGGTATGATTAAATTTTGTAACAAATCTACGTGCATCCTAATGTCATCCCAATGTGAACCCAAGGACAGAAACTGGTTTTAATCCTTCTGGGTGACAGTTTCAGATTCAGATCTAACCATAGCACTTGAGGCTTCTCTTTTTGTGCCAGTTCTCACGTATCACAAAAAGCCTACTGCCCAGTTCCGAAATGGCCTTTTCTTTGGCAGCCGTTCTTTGTCTTCTCTATTTACCAGAGAAAAAAGCATGCTGGGGCTACAGACTTAATACCTGCCTAGGAAAAAAAACGGACCGAGGAGCTAAATGGTGAATTCAACAGGAGACAATACACTTTTATCATCTTTTTTCCACATTTCAGAAAGTCACTCTTGGCGATTTACTTTCTCTTTTATATCACATTACATTTTGTTATTTTGAAACACACCTACATACACAGAGAATACCAAAGGTCGATTTCAGAGACAACGTACCTGGTTGTTCTCTTGGCCTGGCGTAACACTGAGACCAGCTGCTGCCATGTAAGTGCTTCCAATGGTTTTTATTTTTTCAACACCACTAAATTTGGGTTTTAGCAAGAGCTGTTTGAAGGGAAGGAAAATAGAAACTTCAGACTTTAATACCATATTTCAGTGTGGGATTTAACCAGCAACCTTACACTGTCTACAATAAGCATTAAACATCTCTAGGAACACCATCAATCACATGAAGGTTAGATAAGAAATTACTGAGGATTAGTTTTATAATTTTGCTCTAACTGGCTCACAGGGGAGAAAAAAGGACTGAAGAACTGAAATACAACCCTGAAATTCAGGACTTTCAAACCACATTAATGCATTAGAGGATGCAAGTGAAAAAAACCAAGAGATGGGAATGTATGTCTCAAGAGTGCAAGGCTGAAGTCAGGCGTAAAGGCTTTCCCCCCTTCTAACATTCACAGATCAAGGGAAACATTTTATTTTGCAGTAAATCCATAATCCAGTTCATTTTTGCCAGAAGCTTAATTACCTCATCAAAATCAGCAATGATTTCGTTTAACAGCCGCAAGCATTCCAGGCCTTCTTTATTGACATCACATTCAGTATAAAACACCTTAAAATCTGGTACCGATGCAAACATGACACAGACACAGTCGTAAGACTGATGGTACCAGTCCTAGAGGAAAACAACATATTCACACATTATCAGCAGTCACCTTCCACCACAGGTATTCAAAACTGTGATTATTGTTTATAACCAGGAATCCAATTACACAGAATCACAGAATGTTAGGGACTGGAAGGGACCTCGAAAGATCACCTAGTCCAATCCCCCCGCCGGAGCAGGAACACCCAGATGATGTTACACAGGAAGGCGTCCAGGCGGGGTTTGAATGTCTCCAGAGAGGGAGACTCCACCACCTCCCTGGGCAGCCTGTGCCAGGGCTCTGTTACCCTTACGGAGAAGAAGTTTCTTCTTCTCAGAAATTAGTTTTCATAGGAAGTCACCTACAGTCCTCTTAGAAACATTCAAGGTGATTTGCCTAAGTTTAAGCTGAGTTATCTATGTATCTTAAAGATGCACATTCTTCTGGACAGTGCCAGTCGTCTGACACTTAACCATGCCTGTGAAATCAGTAATATTTATTCTGATAACATGCTGGCAGAATAAGATGGATGTCTTAAACCAAAAACATCATGTGGTTGTTACCAAGGTGATACTATCTGTTCCTCAAATTCTTTAAGAGGAAGTTTTATCTCCTCTGGTAAAATACGGTTTTTGGAAAGCAGTAAATCCTTTTTAAATATTTACCAAACTCAGTCTGTGTCCTGAAGCTGAACTACCAATTCTGAAAACAGATTTCAGGGACTGACACTCAAAAAGTTTGGGTTTTTTTGAAGTCATCAGGATAGCAGATTCCTGGGTTTACAAAGTTCTTGGAATACAAATGAGATGCAAAGAATGCGGGACCTTATAGCCTTCTGTGTGCCTGTTAGCATGACACTCTATGTCACAGAACTCCAATTTACTTCACAGAGCAGAGATTAAACAGAGATTAAACATACCTCATTTCGTTTTTCACCAATGAAATATGCAGCAACGTGTGCTGGAAGTACATTTTCCAGCAAAAGCCTGTTCACATTCTCCATTGTTTCAAACTGTTCATGTTCTTTTTTAAACTTATTCTTCCACAGACAATCCAGTCGACAGTAATAGTCAATCTGAAAAAGAACCAAATGTGATAAATTCAATCCATATAACATCTTGCTGAAAAATGTTAGCCAGTTTGTTCAAAATGTGTAGTAGCAATAAAGTCTCTTCAAGGTCTTTTGAGCCTATATAGTTATAAAAAACATGCTTTGTGGGTGAAGGTCAGAAAATCATGAAGCTATCAGTATGAATGAATGCTATTTGGTGTATTTACCAAAATGACATTTTAATAATATGGTGACTACTTTTACCTTGATTCACTGCATTGATTTAGAATGAATACTGACATATACATATAAGAATTTGGAAGTTCTGACTTCTGTAATGTAAACACTATTGAAAAACAGAATCACAGAATGTCAGGGGTTG